GCAAGTGGTACACCTGGGAGGTCTTCTGGGAATAAGTCGGGGAAAATTACACACCTCCGGAATGTCTTTGATGTCTTCGCTTCTTGTTTTCTTATCTACCACGTTGGGCTAAGAAGGCGCGGTATTCTTTCGGAGATACTTTTGAGCCTTGACGCAAGAGATGATTTGCCAGTTTGCACTGGGTTTATCATCGTAGATGAGAATGGTTTCGCCACTTGGCAGATTGAGGCGAACGACCCTTTCGTAACATAGAATGTCGGCACGATGCGAATAACCAATCCATACCGATGATTATGTCGAAAATTTTTTTATTGTTAGCGGCATTAGGTCGATTTTAAATGAATGATTGTCTAGAGTGAGGGTACACCCTGAGTATATATCGCTAGTGCGCTCTGCCTTTCCGTTTGCCATTTCTACGACGTATGTGTCTTTTATTAATTGGGGATCCTGTCTAAGTAATTGTTTGAATTGATGGCTCACAAAACTCCTCTCCGCTCCACTATCGAAGAGTATGTATGCATATGAGTTATTGAGAAGAAACGTACCAGTAACCACTGTGGGGTCCTTGATTGCTTCTCCATGTCCTATAGCCAGGACTCTCCCCACGCCACCAGCATTAGGGGTTCGTGCCTTTGGGCAGTTTCTTTTGAAGTGCCCTGTCTCCCCACAGCCGTAACAGGTGACTTGCCCCCGTATTGGCGACTTGAGTGATTGGTTGAGCTGGCGCCCTACAGAAGCGAGCGGTATTGCCCCTTCTTGTTGCAATTGTTGCAGTACATTTCCTGACAAGCACCGGTGTGGTGGAAATTATACTTATTGCACTTAGGAAGGTTTCCAGCATATTGCCTATGTGGTGCTGGAGTGGCAGGAGCAGTGGCAGCACGGACAGCAACTGTCTGTTGCTTTTTGGCGGAGTTTGGTACCGACTGCTTCTTTTTGTTGTTCCAGAATTTTCTTTTATTGCCCCTCCCCTTAGCTTGATCATGGGTGGTAGTAACAGTATCGTGGTTGGCCCTATGGTCGACAAGTTGTTGTGCCAATTCCTTGGCACTGTCAAAAGTAGTGGGTTTCGAGGCCAACACACTATCTTGAATCTGGGATTGATAGCCCCAGAGGTATCGTTCCACCTTCTTCTCTTTGGAGTGACCATTGCTGGGCAGAGGAGTGCGAGGTCATTGAATCGGGTAGTATAAGTCAGGTCTGTGCCCGACATCTTGAGGTTCCAGAGTTCTTCTTCAAGTTTTTGCACTTCGCCCCTCGGGCAATATTCCTTTAGCATCAAAGCTTTCAAGTCCTCTCTGACTGAAGGTGGCACTCTCGGACCGAAGGTGGCACTCTCGGTCTCTTAGTAGGTTCGGTTCAGGAAGGTGGTTTCGGTCCTCAAGAGGTTTCGGTTCTTAAGGGAGGTTCGGTTCCTAAGAAGGTTCGGCTCCTTAAGAGAGGTTCGGTTCCTAAGAAGGTTCGGCTCCTTAAGAGGGGTTCGGTTCCTAAAAAGGTTCGATCCCTTAAGAGGGTTCGACTCCTTAAGGCTGTTTTTCGCGTAAACTTCCGTTTTCGAGCGGTTTTTGACTAACTTAAGGGTCGGGATGCCCCGAGTGATTATAAGAAGTTGAGAGAGATTGGGAGAGATTTGGGGGAGATTGACATACTGGGAGAGATTTGACATACTTGGAGAGATTTGGCATACTTAGAGAGATTTGGGAGAGATTTGACATACTTGGAGAGATTTGGGAGAGATAGAGTGAAAGAGATTGGGAGAGACTTCTTTTGTGACCTTTTTGAGTGTTTGGCTTTGCAACGCCAGGTCCGTAAACCCTGTTAAGCCATGTTTAAGAGTCTTACACACCCCCGAAGGGTATGTAATAGTGTTTTATCGCTTTGCTACATCACTTACCCCGATTAGGGCTCAAGAATCCTACACATACGAACTTTCCAAGTGATGACTTCTTATTAAAATAGCGAGTTGTACAATAATTACATAACGTAAACCCTAGTATACAAGCGTTAGTAGAGTTGACCGGTTTGACTTGTTGACTTTATTTGACTTTGACTTGACCAAAATTTGACGGTTGTCACATAAAGTTATGTATTTAACTTTTAACATATTATACTTAATTGATTAGATTTAATATATTGTTGTATGTAAACCATTCTCAGTTTAAAACTACATCTTTTAAACAGTTTGGACAAAATACTTAAATTGTTAATTTAAATATAACATTACAGGGTAAACTTCAATATAAATTTCAGTTCCACTTAAAAAACCCAAAAAATATTTTATGAATAGTTAAAAGTGATAAATTGGAGTGTTAAATGCAAAAACTAAATTGTAATATCAATTTAACTAAAATATTTCCTAAAGATATTTTTATAATCGTTAAAAGTTTTCAAATAAGTAGTTTTTTTTTTAAACATAAGAAGAAAAGTTTACATAAACGTAGCGGGTAAACGAGCAACAAGCTGTGTCGCAACCCCTTTTTGGAACAAGTAGCTTAAAATAACTTTTACAATAACAATAGTTAAAAATAACTCTATATAAATAATTATATTGTTACCTTTAAAATAAAAAAAAATTGTTTGATGTTTTCAATAATTGACAATGATAGAAAGTAAACGTTAAGCACAGAAATTTTAAAAAATTAATTAACAATAACAACAACTATAAATAACATTAAACCATATATTATATTTAATTTTAATCATGAGTAACCCACGGGTGCAAGTTAATCAAAAGATTGAGATTATGTAGTTTTAATAGATATATATATTATCATATAATCATATAATTCAAACAATTTATTATATCAACTTAGTATACAAATTATTAACAACATTATTGTTATATTTAAAAAAACATATGTTTGTAAAAATTTCAGCTATATAGATGCTTCTGCGCAACGCACATACATTCGCCTAGTACAATATATTTTAAGAGACCGAGGAAAATAAGTCATTAAATTGGACGATTTACGTTGAACTATTTGATTTAAATATTTGGATATTTGGATTTTGTTATTGATTTTTAGTAAAATCGAATTATAAATTAATCCATTAAGATTAAGTATAAATTTAATTTGGATCTAATTAATGATTTAAAAATCATTATCAAATTGGATTTAATTAATACCAAATTTTAATTTTTAAGAAAAAGTTCGTATTTGTTATTACCAAGGTTCTAAAAAGCTCGTCATGGCTCCAAGGCTTGTATGTGCCGCCACGCTTTACCAAAACGCCGTCATGACTCATATATGTGTATAAAAATGAATAATAGTAGAAAATATATATAAAAATATGAATTATATACAAAATTTGCCGACTTAAGTCACGCCTTACAAACGACGTGGCTCGTCAAGCCTCGAAAAAGCTTGAGGCTTGACATTGCCGTCAAGTCACGCCTTACGTTATTTAGAACTTGGTTATTACCAATATCTACTCATCTATTCTTCCTTAAAACCCGACCCGTTTTAAACTTCAAAACCCTTGGTCAAATATAAAGGCACAAGGTCGCACAGTATGTTCATCCCCTGCACTTCCAAACCCTAGCCGAACCAAAGGTCATCTGAAAACTTCATGGTAAGATAACACAATCATCAAATCCACAACTCCATTAACGATTCCCGTTTTAAACTTATTGCTATCTGTAAATTTTATTATTTAAAAAAGTTTACATCTCTTTGCTTTTTTAGGCGCCAAAGAAGGAGAAAGCACCCCCACCGTCATCCAAACCCGCCAAGTCCGGCGGTGGAAAGCAGAAGAAGAAGGTCAATATTTGATTATCCACATTTGATGTGTTCTGATTTTGTTGCATACGATCGGTTAGCCTGATTGCGCATTTGCTTAATTATTTGTGTTTTTAATCTTTTCCGTTTCTGCTATAAGGATTTTGATATACAAATCGAAGACATTTATTTCACATTGTGTAGTATAGGGTTTGTGATATGTTACTAAGTAGTCAACTGCAAATTCTGTAATCAATTTACATTTTCTCCTTTTTGATCTTAACATTGTTTATGAATTGAATTGGGTTTACAGAAGTGGAGCAAGGGAAAGCAAAAGGAAAAGGTGAACAACATGGTTCTATTTGACAAGGCGACATATGACAAGCTTCTTTCTGAAGCTCCAAAGTTCAAGCTCATCACTCCTTCAAATCTTGTCAGACAGATTAAGGGTACCTCTAAATTATATTATATACTTCAAAAAAAGAGTATTCTCTAATCATTCATTGAATCATTTGTGGGTTTTCACTTGAATTTGTTATAGATTAATGGGTCATTAGCAAGGAAGGCAATCAAGGATTTGATGGCAAGAGGAGCTATTCGGATGGTATCTGCTCATGCTAGCCAACAAATTTATACCAGGGCTACCAATACTTGATTTTTGCAAGCTATTCATGTTTTGTTGTCTTTCTGTTTATTAGTATTTTGTTTTCCAGAATTAAGAGCTTAATACTTTACCCTTTGTATTACTTTTCAGAATTAAGAGCTTAATACCCAAACATGTCTTTGGTTGGGATTAGTGGTAGGATTTGGTTGTCAATCATTAAACATGAATTGTTTGCTGATTTGCAACACATGTTTTTTCAACATCTGAATCCTTATTCATCCCTTCTTTGATTTGGTTCTCATTTACACCATGTGCTTCAGTTATTTTAAGAGGGAAAGGGAACGAAAGAAAGAAAGTTGTGTTCTTAGATTTTTAATGAAGGAAAAGGAAGTTATCAAATAAGAATCATTTACAATACATACTTTTCCAACATCTAAATCCTTATTCATCTCTTCTTTGATTTGGTTTTCATTTGCACCATGTTCTCTAAGTTTTTTTAAAGAGGGGAAGGAAAAGAAATGAAGAAAATTGTGTTTTTTGTTTTTTAATGAAGGAAAGGAAAATTGTGTTCTTGGGTTTTATATTTAAGGCGGGAAGGAAAGGATTGAAATGATAAACTTTTTTTCTCTTAAAATCTATACTCCTAATTGTGAGATGATTGGGATAAGAACTCTTTTCCTTCCCCTTCTTTTACCTTTTCTTTCCCTCGATTTTAAACTTAGGAACACGGTGCTAATATGTTGTTTAGTATTTTATAGTTTTTTAGAATTTTATTTTGTGATTAAATTTTAAGTAGTTTTGAAGAGGAGATGAAAAGATAAGGGTATAGACGTATAGTTTAAATTTATATCGACAAAAACGACTAAAACATTTAGCTATATATTGTTAGGGTTAGAAAATGGTTAAAAATATCCATTTTTTTATAATTTCTTTTATGGAAAATAACCAATAGTAAAAAAAAACATGACATTGTGTTTATGTGTCATGTTTGTGCTACATAAAAATTTGTAATGTTGTGTCAGATAACACATCACGATTTCCTAATTGCAAAATGCGTTTTTTACCATAAACGTTGTTTTTATGTGTTATATTCGCATTGCGAAATGAGCCTTTTAAAACGAATTTTATAGTGGTTACAGCACTTCATGATATTATTCAAGAATGAAATCTAAAATTCTAAATAACAATTTTGTTATTACACTGATTGGAAAATGCGGCAAGAGAGAAAATTAATCTTCATTGCTAGTATACATACCATCATCCGCAATACAAGACACGAAGATTACTAGTACATGTAATGTGGAACTTGGTTAAGAGAAGTGCAAATTCAAGATCAATAAAGTAAAGAAGATACTATAACATGATTTAATAAAATGAAACACAAAATCGGAACACATATCATTGCATTTTTCATAATCATTACTATTTACTACTATTAATTTTATATAATTATATTAACTTATGTAAGATTCAATGAAAAATATTTGAAAAAAAAAAGAATTTTTAAAGTTCAATTATCATTGAACTCGACATCTACTGAATATGTATGCATTTTGCATCTCACCGTATTTATGTTTAATCCATCAAAAGTCTAACAATACACTCGATCTCATTTGACTATTCATTAAACAATGCATTTGAAATGCTCAAATGTGTCATATATCTGTTAAAATCAATAGAAACACATCATAAGGGTTTGTAAAATAAAGGTTTAAACATAGTTACTTGAAAGAAGCACACATGTAAGAATTAGTACAAAGTCCAGTTGTACTCGTATAAGGAAACAAAGCCATGGGTCGATTGGGTGGCAACTTAGGAACCTCTGTCTCAAAACAAACATACTCCACCACCTCCGCCATGCTCGGCCGCCCCCTACTCTCCTTCAACGTGCACAACAACCCGATATCCACAACCCGAATTGCCTGATCCATGTTCAACACCGAACTCATCTTTACATCCACCACTTTTTCCTTCTCATTCATCTCATGCATGGTCCAAGCCCATTCCAACAGGTCCAAGTCTAATCTGTCATATTTAGATTCAGACTGTAACATGTCAGACTCAGATATATACCTCTTCCTACCGGCCACAACCTCCAACATAAACACCCCAAATGCAAAGACATCTGTCGGCAAACTCACCGTCTCCTCGAACCGACTAGATTCTGTACCCGACATCACGAACCCGAAATCGCCAAGCAAGGCTCGAAAACTTACATCGATAAACACACTATTTGTATTAACATTCTTGTGAGCTAGTTTTTGTGAATGGAGGTAGCTCAATGCTTGTGCCACGTCACGCACCACCTTGAGTCGCCGGCTCCATGGCAAGATACCGATTCCATAAAGCCAATCATCGAAGGTCCCATTTTGCACACAGTCATACACCACCATGGTCTCTTGGTGGTCAAAGCACCACCCTCTAATTGCCACTAGATTAGGGTGACGTAACTTGCTCATTGCCTTTATCTCTTTACCCACGCGCCGCCGGTTAATCCCATGAGACTTAAAATACTCCACTGAAAACCGCTTCACTGCCACGTGGCACCCATTCAATAAAGTACCCCTATATGTATCACTTCTTTCATCACTCGCCACCTTGTGTAACTCGTCGAAACACCGAGTCGCCGATGAAACCTCCGCAATAGTAAACCGCCGTGGTTTGTTCGGTGGGCGAGGGCGTTCTTTCACCGCCGGCAGCATGGCCAACTCCCCGCTCTTCCGCTTCCGGTTGTAGTACAAACTCACCAAAGCTACAACTACAAGGAAAACCACTGTCATGAAAATAAAGAAACCGCTGAGATTGTTTCTCCCACCGCCGTTACCATTGTCGACTGTGATTTTGCTTTCGCAGGTTTCCGGTGAGGGTACGCGAAGAGAAGCTTGACTACTTGAGGTAAAATTCCATGACAAGACGTTATGAATTTGAGTAAAGTTTCCTGTAGAAGCCGAGAATCCAACGAACATGTACTCTTTCAAGAAATCTGATATATCAAGTCGGCCGGAAAACACAGGTTTTGAAGGATATTCAAAGCTATCGGAACCTAACCGGATGTCCAAGAAACGGTTTTGGCCATGGTAATAAACCCAAGCTCTGTGTATTTCACCATCCTTCAAGTTAATACCAAACTCCGATACATTAATGGTGATTGTCGAAACAATGGAACCCAAATTGATTCCCAGATGGTTGTCGTTAGGGTCATCGAATTGCACGTTTTCTATGGTGTCAAATTCGATCCCAACAGCTTTATATTGTTCATCACAAGCATCATTTAGCATGCCTAGCCATGGCCCAGGTCGTCCCACCGTGAACTCATCAGGTGTTATCATGAATGTAAAACCGCTTCCACCGTCACCACCGCCACTACTACCGCCATCTCCGCCACCAGAAGATAAGTTTGTTGGTATAGTTTCGATCTGAAACGAGAAAGTTGTTTGGAAGGAAGCTGGGGTTCGCGTTATGGGATCGAAAACACGAACAGGATAAGCATAAACAGCACGACCAACCAAGTGCTTCAGATCATCGACGCCGTCTTTCTGGGTGGTGTCCGGTATCTGAATCCGACCGTTTTTGTCCACGACGGAGCTCCCCAGCAGCATGAGATCATGAACTGTTCTTGGGGAATTGAAATCAGGGAAAAAGAAGTGTTTTGTAACATTGATTACAACTCCATCTTTGGTATTAATCTTCTGATGATCAGTTGATTCAACATAGACGAATAAGAAGAAGATGAATGCTATCAGATTCATAATGGTTGGAAGAAAGAAAGAGACGGTAGAAGCCATTGGAGAAGAAGGAAGGTTTGCTTTGGTTTGGATGATGTGATGGAACTTGTAACTAATATTTAAGTGAGTGTTTGTAAATGATAGAGATGTCCATTGTGATGAGGTTGTGGTGGTGGGTACATCGATGGAGGAGGATGTGGTTATTTTCGCTTGAGGTGATAAATAAGACAAAAAGATCGATCCAGTATTTTCCCTTTTCTCCATAAACACGACAATTATTTGTGGACCACGTTTTAAATTAATATTCTATTCGATATGTTTTCTAGAGGGTTAAAAAGGTGCAGCAAAAAATACAGTTCAAAAGAAAACAGGTCGCATGAGTTAGGTACACATTAGAATCAGGCCAGTAGGCTTTTCCGGCCCGATCTGGACCAAGTTGGGCTTAGTTGTTGAACTGCGCTGGGCTTTAACCCATTTTCCCAGGCTTTATTGGATGGGCTGGGCAGCTTTTGTTGTTTTGTGTGTGTTTTGATGTTATCTCTTGGAAATTGTTACAATTTCTTTGAAACTTTCGAAGCAGTTGTTGGAAATTGTTAAGGGGAATTTTGGGAAGTTTGCAATTTCCAATGGTGATATTAAGTAGGTGGATTGTGAATTTGTGATGTATTTTTTTCATCCTTCATCCTACAATTATCTCTAAATTTTTTACTACGTATTTGCAGTCGTTTGTTTAGTATTTTCGTTAAAATCCTTCATATTGTCATTTTATAAAATGGTCATCGAAGGTTCATCAAGCTATGCTCAAACAAGTAACAAGATTCTTAAAAAAGACAACCAGACATATGATATTTAACAAAATTTTGATTACGTTCAAAAAGATGATGGCAAATTTGATACATAAAAATTACTTAATTTCCCTAAGTTTATTCAAACTAAACATGTTACAAAACAAATTTGATAGTTTTCTTGTGTCATTTTACACTCAAATTAGGTCGCGAAGTTACATAAAAATCTCCACATAAAAGAAAATAACAATTAGAAACTAATTTGTGATAGATTGTGTTAAGCACCTCATCGCAAAACAAGATAGTCCAACAAAATGCATAGAACAGAACATAGTAAGGCAGGATAGTATGATAGATCAAGTGTATCAAAATAGAATGAAAAAACCATTTTACTTGCATTATTCTATTTGTATTTAATTGACCAACGATTTATTATTATTATTATTATTATTATTATATCATTGACTATGTGGATATAATTGGTGATGTGAAGTCTACATAGGTTGGGAACGAGTTATCGCTGTAAAAATATAGTTAATGATATAATAAAACAAAACAAAAAATTGTTATTCAATTGGATACATTACATTTAGTAATTTAAAGATCAAATAAAAATGTTATTTGGTGCTATTTTATAACGTTTTTCCTTGACATTAAATTTTAGTAGTTTGAAGTTCATTTTTATTATTCTTGACTCTTGACTAAAATGTCTAGGACTGGCCTTGGTTCTACAAAGTCTAATACACATATATTACGAGAGGCTGACGAGAAAGTCCATGTAATATTTAAAATTGTTCAACGGAATTCAATACATGCATACGTAATATCGATTAATATATAACACCCACATTTAAACCGCGGTCGAAATTGTCATATACGTGAACTTGACCATTTTGCCTTTGAAACTTCCAAGATCAACCCCTACCATCAATCATACATAAATAATCTGTTGCCCATATCATATACTCACCATACCCTCATCCACCCCTCACACACACAAAGAAAGTAAACTCAATGAATCCACAACCCCAAATTCAGAAGTCGATAACTACCTCTTCTATGGATGCACAAGATCACAATCAAGATCTTCATCTTGATCTTGATAATGGCAACAATCTTGATTTTGATCTTGATGATGAGCACAACAATAACACCAACAATCTTGATCATGATCTTCATAATGGCAACAATCTTGATCTTGATCTTGATGATGAACACAACATTAACACCGACAATCTTGATCATGACACAGATGGTGATGATCTTGATGCAGATGACAATGACATGAACGGAGAAAACATGTTGAGTTATGAACAGAACCCTCTTTATTGTACGGATAACAACCCACCGGAGTCGTTTTCAATCTGCCAGGCGAAAGTGGCAGACTGGCTGGAGCACCACACATTCATCGAGCGCAAGGCGTCTGTGAAGTTCGCCGTCGTCACGAAAAACCAAGATTCAACTCAAACCCGGTCGACTCACCGATCAATGACGACTTTAAACCAACGACCAAAGCTTTCCATAATTGGGTTCAGAAAAAAGCAGATCCATCAAACCGATGGGAAGTCCAAACATAACGATAAGCCGGAAAACATCCGTTTGTTCAGGAACCGGTCTGAACCGGGAAGGGACTACTGTCTACTGATAACTGAACCGGTTTCTCCTAAGGTTTCGTGTGTGGGTCGGGTCGGGTCAGTGAGGGTTCGAGGAAGGAAGGCTGGGGTTTGGAGGAGTGTCAAAGCTGCTTTCTCGAATCTTGTTCAGACGAACAGAGTGATGAAGATTGTTGCTTGATACCGGTTCAAACCGCCGGAGTTTGTTGCTTGCCGGCCGAAGTTCAGGCGATTGGTTGCCGGTGACATGTCACCGAATGGTGGGATACGATTAATCATACGATAATATTTTGTTTTTTTCTTCTTTTTTTCTTTGTCATTTTTTGTCGTTTGGTTTATAGGTCAATTTACGTGTAATTATAGTGTCCTACTTGTGGTCTAGCTCGTAGTCCATGGCCTATATTCACACCGAAAGATACTCTGGTTTTGGACATTTTGTAACAATTATATATACATAAATAATTCATTATAACACCATGGTCTTGTTTGCCGACGGCCTATAAATGACAAGATAAGGGAAGATAGGTATGAATTGATGATAAATTTTATTAATTTATTCGTGTTGTGTATAATAGTTGTCCCTATTTTTCTTATGTTTTGAATTTAGCGATTGTTTTAGAGTTGATTACTAAAATGAACTAATGACTATAATGGGAGTGGGCTATATTATATACACAAAAGAACATTTTAATTTTTTTTTACTAAAAAATAATCACGAATCCTAGGAAATTAACAATATCACCTTTTCAACATTTAAGACCGCTAAGTTCATGTGTGTGCATGTCGTTTTATACTAGGGATGTCTCAACTATGCACCGGTCACATAGTTTTCTTAGGTGATGGGGATCTTCATAAAAACATTTAACATGCAAGATAAAAGAAAGATTTTTTTATGCAAAAAAGTAACAATGTTGACAACATTATGCAAAAAAAAAAAATGAATATTTTATTACAAACATACCATATATACAATTCACATCAATTTCCTGGACACTCCCTCAAAGATTCCATTTATCTAATACCATTGTGGTACTCTAATACTGCTAATGAAGGGATATGTTCGATTAGGGCGCAGGGCCGGTCCAAACGTATATGGGGCCCGAGGCGAAAAGAAAAACAGGGTCCCTTAAAAACAAATATCATAAAAATTCAAAAAAAAATATCATTTATTCTTCACTATAAACGCTATAAACGCGTACAATTAGCAATTACAAGCAAGCCAAATTGTTTATCTTTTGAGCTAGTTTAAGTTTGAACCAGCTTTAAGCCCTAAAAATCATTTATATATTAATTTTTTTTATATATATACACAACATAACCCATAAATTTTGGGCCCCATGGAGACGTGGACCCTGGGCGGTCGCCCAGGTTGCCCACCGTCTGGATCGACCCTGTTAGGGGGGGGCGTAGTCATAGCAAAAAGGGGGATGTATCGTTGGTACCTCCAAGACACTATTTCCTTAAACAGTTGGTCAAGCGGTTGGGTGATATGCGGGTTAAGCAACCCATTCAACCATTTAATCTATGTGCATTGATTACTTATACTTCTTGCTTTAAGACTTGTATTAAAATTTGTATGTTTTTAAATTAGTTTGTGAATTAGTTTTGTATAATTTTTATTAGTTTGTGTTTATTTTGAAATTATAAATTAAGTGGGTTGAATTGATTGGAAAAGATAGATTTTTCATGTGTTATGAGTTAGAAAAAATAGAACAAAGTTAAAAAGATCAAAGATAAAAACTAATATGAAACCGATATGGTAGTGTGTTGGGAGGAAACTCCTTCCGCCTTTAGAATTTATGTAATACCAGAATAATTTTTGAAAACATATAGCCGACAATTATGGCTGATTTATGAAAAACTTTTTTGTAACGATAATTAAAAATTGACTGGAATGTTAACACAAAAATGACAAAATAACAAAAATACTCTCATATTATGCGGTATAAGTGAGAATATTAACGTGTAAGGTTACATATCGTATGGCTAATGAGAAAAAACGTGACAAAATGATAACATATGGATAGAAAAAATAAAGAGTAGGGATGACAAAAAACTTCATACCCGATGGGGAACCCGAATCCAGCACCCGTTTTGACTGGGGAATCCCCAAGTTGACCGGGGATGGGGACGGAGATGGGGAATCCCCAAATAAAAAAGTGGGGATGGGGATGGGGATGGGGATACCCTTAATCCCTGATCCTAGACCCGCCTCCGATATCTATTAATATAAAAAACAATAAAAACATATATTTATAGTACAATTTACAATATATAAAACTTGATCCAAAGTAACCTAACTCATTAGTAATTACTTGGTTGAAATTATACTTTTTCTTTTTTTATTTAATTTAAACTCGTGTATAATTTTTTCTCTATTTGGTTTATCTATTTTACCTCAAATATTACTCTAATAACTTTTTTCTATTTGATTTTTCATGTATTTATTTAAATTTGGTTGAAAATTTGTTTATATTTTTTTATGCAATCTATGTATATTTTTATATTTTGTAAAATCTTTAAACTTGTGCTGGTAAAATTGAAATTTAAAGTTTTTCTTTACATAAAAGTTTTCATATTAAATAAGAAAAAGAAATCCCCGATTCCCCGCTGGGGATGGAGGTTTATTTATAGTCCCCGATGGGTATGGGGATAAGGATGGGTATTGGGGTCCCATGTATTTCCTGCATCCGTTGCCATCTCTAATAAAGAGGCTATTAATTTGACCAAAAGAAATAAACATTATTACTATAAAGACGCATAATATACTTCATTCTATAATTGTCAATTAAATTGTTTTTGGTCAGCATGATTGCCGAGTCTTTTTGGATGTAGTACTAAAAGAAAGCTTATACCAAATAATTTCAGAAGTTGATTGATTAATTAATTTATTAATTAATTCTTATAAATGATTGGAATGGTGCACATTGTTTCCAAAGAATAATATTAAAAGATAGGCTCATAGGAGTGTATAGCATGTATTATAAACATTAGAGTCGCAAACACATGTAGAAAAATTAATATTTATCCAGGATTTATTATGTTAGTCGATTCACATTATATATGTATCACCTAATTATATTATATATTATTAGAGGAATATTTCAACTTATTCATGCGGGTGTTTGGCATTACTTATTTTAAATATTTATGTTATTTTAAGTGTTTATTGATTTATGTTTGGTAGATTCTATTAATATATTTAACTAGGTTATAAACTTGTGTACTATACGGATGAAATATATAAGCTTTTATAATAAGATATTAAAAAATGTTAAATATTAAATTATTTGATTTTGAAATATTAGGAACAAATTGTTATTCAACTCTAAACTTCTTAAATTTAGAGATTTATATTAACTGAATTAAAAAACGGTAAGAAAATCGGACGTTTTATGAAGATCATCTAGAAAAAAATTGAAATTTAATTATAAATTCATTAAAAGTTCGAATTTATATCAAGCCGAATAAAAGAAATATAAAAGACAAAACTGCAAATTTGGTCCTTATGGTTTGCAAAAAACTATGGATATGGTCCAAAAAGTTTCCGATTTATATGGATGCTCCAAAATCAAGAATTTCTTGTATTTTTTGTCCTAAAAATAAGAAAATATTGTAGTTTTGGTCATTGGAAAACTGAAAAAACGGTTTTGCGTTTTTGTTTTTTATTTTGTATTTTTTTCATATTTTCTTTAACAAGTTATTAATTAAAAATAAAAATGAAAGAGCTTGGCCCACCTCCACCCCACAGGTACTCTCTCTCTCTCTCTCTCTCTCTCTCTCTCTCTCTCTCTCTCTCTCTCTCTCTCTCTCTCTCTCTCTCTTCCCCAGCTTAGGTGTAACTCAAACTAAACCCACTTCAAATTAAAAACACACAAATACATGAACACACATTGTACACACGATAAGTGTGTGTTTGCATTTCATAATTTGCAAATCTAAACACAACCAATTTCTCTAATTATCATAGATCAATTAATAGGTCAGTTTTAGTTTTTCATGTTTTATTCAGAAAAGTCAATTGCACTTATTGATCAAATGGAAATGCTCTTTTGTTCATGTTTCCAGGACAAACATAAAGCAAGACCATCTTCTAAGGCAATGATGGAATTCGAAATCCTAAAATGTCGTCCATTGATAGAGAAGCTAGAACATCAAAATCAGATGCAACAAAATTTTGGAACCTAAAACGCCTACAAAACTCTTTAACTTACTGGAACTATATTTCGTTCTTTTCACTATCAGAATCCTCCATACATCGTCCCCTTCTTTCATACAATTTTCAAATCCCTCTTTCACATTTTCAAGCTCTCTACAAACCTTATCCATGTCGTTGCTTTCTGTTTAGCTTATACAAATCGGAAAAGGGGTGTCTTCAACTTAAAACACATACACGCACCTGCAACTCAACACACACTTTGTAAATCCACACTAGAATCAAACCCAATTGAAGAAGTTGATGATTGCTACGAGGTTCAGATGTAATTGTTTGTAAATCCACTTGATTGGTCGGCTGGGCAGTCATCTTTTCATTCACATAGGTGGGTGGTGTTGGTCTTCGTTCCATTCCTGATGCATAATTGATGAACACACACAATCAAAGTTTTAAGATATGGGTCCAATATACACACGATGAGATTTCTCCGGCAAGCTTGCATCCGGTATCACCCAACTTCATCCCACCCTCTTGAGATCTGCGTAACGCTTGAATGACCTCATCAAAGGAAAGAGTAGATGAGGAAAAGAGGAAGCAAGTGGACATAAGAGAGAGTCAAATATAGAGAAAGAAAGTCAAAGAAATAGGGGAGAAAGAAGGAGGTACGGGTGGAAGGTGTGGGGTAGGGATTTTGTTTTTTCTTTTTCTTATAACTATTAAAATATAAAAGAAAATAAAGGAAATGTAAAAAAGAAGTAATAAGGGCAAAATAGTCCTTTCAACATTTTTAGGACCAAAAACACAGAAAATTCATGATTTTGGACCACCCATGCAAGTCGTAAATCGTTTTGGACTCTATCCATAGTTTTTTGCAAACCACAATGACCAAATTTGCAGTTTTGTCAATATAAAAATACCAAGAAAATAACATGTGACATGATTATGCATAAAAGTATGGAGAACTGGAAATAAAACATTGATAAAAAAGGTAAATTGACATGTATATTGCTGCTCATGAAGAAAAG